TTTCTTTTTTACACACAAGTAAATTGATTTAACATGAAAAAAGATCTCTTCAGGGAAACAGGGAAACATAATAAACATATAAATAGATAATTTCGGGAGAACTAATTTTTTCTCTCAGGGTTTCCTCTGAATTTTTAAAGAATTTTCAAACCATTTTTCTCCGAATAATAAAAATCCGAATCAAGAAAATTGAATGGATCACTTGCTTAACGGAAGATGATGATAAATCATATTCATCTGAATGACTGCTTTTATCCCACCCGCTAAATACTGAATAGTCTGGCTGCTCCAACGGTTGGCAGAAACCTGACCTCCAATCTCACCTCAATTTGCCTACACGACCGGCATTTCCAGGCTGAACCAAAGCCGACCGGTGGTGCTTGAGCGTATATCCCGCACCATTCCCCCTATCTGAAATTATGATCTCAAAAATAACTCGTTGGCGAACGAGCGATTCTCACCGGCAAACTCACGGTAATATCGATTAATTCGTGGAGATTTATTTGCTGTGAATCATCAGTTGGGCTTTTGATAAATAACGAGGGAGATCTTCACTCGTTTAATTTGAATTATTTTTCATCTTTGGGGAGCTATTGGCAGTGGTACAACTTCCAGTAAACAGATTACGAATAAATCACAATTCAATTCTAAAACTATAAGAGATCGGGGTGCGAGGTACTTCGATTGTCGTGAGGCATTAAATTAACCGAGTGTGGTATCATTCCTGATGCTCTTGGAGGACAATAACGGATGGAACGAAAATTGCAGTGGAGTCCGTCGTTGGATTCTGGCAAACAGACAATTCCCCTCTGTTCTGCTCTGTTCTGTCCTGGTACTGAAATACGCAAAATGAGAAGTTGGAAAAAAATTCAAGGGTGGATAAATATTTATTTTTCTCAACACCCGGCGCATACCAGTATTCCCCTGATCGATTTAACACCAAATGTCGCTGTGTTTTACACTCGGCAATAATAGTTGAAATCTATGTAGTCAATATTTCAAAAAAAAAGTCACCCCTTCGCGAACACCGTCCAAGTGTCATGTACTACATCCCCTCTTGCTGGACATTGTGCCGGAGTTGATAGGGAGCCCACCGACACGTTGTCTGTCAATGAAAATCAGGGTAACTCCGGGCTTTTTTATCGTCCAAAGTACATAACCCATTTTTTTAAAGATTTTTTTTCTTCCTTCCTTCAATAAAATTTCTGGACCAATGATTTCCGGGATTAGAAAGGGGTGGAGAGTGACCACGTGGAGCAGTGAAGGACATTGGACAATATTCTCTGTTCATATTTCAAGTGACCCTTTCAGTATGCTTCAAAGGAGGGACAAAAATCTTTAAGAGTTGGAGAGGGTGACACACATGTTATCGGCGGGTAAAGGGGCCAGTATGAAAAACCATACAGGAATGGTATTCGCACGACTTGAGAACAGAGTCTCTCGAGGATTGCTCTATTCGTTGGCTTCGTCCCTTATTGATATACCGAATAAACACATGGTCAGTGCTGGGGGATCTGCTATCAGGTAAATAAGTCAGAACCCAGGAGTTGAGAAATTCTATTGGGAAATTCAGAGGGAGAATTTTTTTTGAGCAACAAAAACTATCTTGTTTCGTTACAAAATTGATTTTTCGGAAAATTGAGGAGAAAATAGTGCCGAACTTTTTTTGTAAACCATTAATTTATTCAAAGAAAATTATTCACTAGAACATCTTTGAAATTCATTTGCACTAAATTACTTAGAAAATTAGATTTTCTGTTGTCTTTTCATGACACGGATATTTCCCTAGTTTTATCGAGAAAACTGGGGACCCATACTATGACATCAAGAGTAAGTTTTTATTGTTCCAGGTACACTGTTAAAAAAATTTGGCCGAATTTTCCGGAAAAAGACCTTGGATTCGATTTAAGCGGAAAAAGTCTATGGAATTTTAAGTGTTTCTGAAAATATAAGTAAAGTCCCATTTTTTTAGCGGTAGGAGGGCGAAAATCCCCCAATTTGCATGAATTTTCAAGTAAAAATGAATATTCACTGCCAAATTCCATTGAATTTTCGCGGAATTCCTTCAAATTTCTTGTAATTCCAGGAATTTGTGAAGGGAGTGCCTGTAAATTCAGCAGAATCTTGAATTCCAGGAGAGATTTCTCTGAACGTTCCTGATTTTTCATTAATTTTCCCGGAATGATTAAACTCAAATTTACACTTACCATGGATTTTTCCATGAAATTATGAATTTTCAAAGATAAAATTCCGTGAAATTTCACGAGAAATGTTAGAAATTTCCAAGACTCTTACCGGAAATTTCAGTGAAAATTTTTTACCAGTGTAAACGCACATTTTAGTACAATGCGAAACACTTGCGAAAAGACGATTTGAATGAAACCATCGAGAAAATACTATAGGACAATTGTTTCCAGTCAATACTCAGTATAAGATTCAGTAATTCAATCGTCAAGCTACTGGTGTGAACCCCAAGGGTCCGCATCAACTTCAACGCATCGAAGCTGAGTGATCTTCCACCGAGAAAGTTTATTCGATCCTATTTAATTCCACAGGGACTGGAATAAATATGACGAATCTACCCATGAATCCACATGAATGTCCAAGAAGATGGAACCACTTACAGCCTCGGTTTTGAATTCCCCAGCAGTTAAAGCAATGTTTGACATGGAAATGTTGAAAGATGCATTAAACATCCTCGCATAGTGCTCGACTCTCTCTTCTTTCTACCGAAGCTTTCATTCCCTTCTCTCATATAAACCCATGGTTACATCAACGTTGCCCACACACTCCCCCGACTACCAGTCCATTGTCCAGGCAATGTTTATTTAAGCAAACGAAAAGGAACTCTGTCGGTTATTCTCCCTATTCCCAGCTCTCCTGTACCTTCGACTCGCTCTTCCGCCTTTTTGGATTGCTAACCTCTGTTTCCGGTGTGGCTTGGGGATCGATACAGTCCCCAAGTAGTTGTGCATATATTCACTAGTACAAATAGAAGTGGGAGCGTGGGAGTAGGTGAACTGAGGAAAAAAGTAAACGCATCTTGGGTCGCTTGGGAGAGTTTCACGGCTGTCCATTTTGGATGAAATGGGGGAGACTATTGTCCAGTAAATGACATCAGGGTTATTGCATTATTTAAAGAGCCTCCACTTGAAAAAACGTCTTATGCCGACGACCCCCGGAGTGCCACTCACGCGGTGGTTTCCTACGTGGAGGTTGAAAAATCTGAGGGGTTGAAGGATTTATTTTAGGGAAGGAACCGGTCAAGGAATTTTAGAAGAACAGTCGATTCGTTATTCGCCTAATTTTATTGGGTTTATGCGCTTTTAGGGGGAGACAAGTGGCTGGAGCTGGCGATTCAATAATATGAGAAAACCCTGAAAAAACTAGTATTATTGAAATCATCCCAAACTTAATGCAGAAAAAAAAAGTCTTCAATTTCCAGTAAATATCTCTGAATTTTTGTGGACTTGTTCCCAAATTTGATGCACTGACAAATAATTTGTGATAACGAACGATAACTTTTAACTTCAAATTTGGAGACGAGCTTAGTCTAGAGTGGTAGAAATTGAGTGTCAGCATATCTTCATCGTCAATCTTTGTTGCAGGACATGTGTAAAAACTCTTTCTATAATTTCGTTTTGCCCTTAAGGGATTTCAGCTCAGGGCATCAATAGAGAGCTTATAAATAAATAAATACATAAAATTAAAAAATCCTGTCGTACTGAAATATAGCAAGCAAAAAATAATGGAATGAAGTGAATTTCTCCTAAAAATCAGAGAAAGCAGTTCTAATTCTCTGAAATTTGTACTTGAATTTAGTACAAGTGTAATTCAATTGAGGCAATTTTCTCTTTTCAATTTTTCTCTCATTTTCAGGAAATTTTGGTTCTGAAATTCAGAACTTTTGGACTGCTAATATAAGAACCTCCAGGCTCTCAAATTAAGATAATCTGTCTTATTCTGAAATCAGTCTGCTCATGTTTATAAATTGTTTGTTGTTCTACGTATATCATCTGACAACTTGACTCAATTATTATACAATTAACGTTCAATTAGTCCAGAATGGCATTCCATTTGCATGTTCTTCCATAGTTTAAGAGAATTCGAAAGGTTTTCAATTCAACAACCCAACGGTTCTTGATTTGAGAATTTTTCTTACTTGAAATAAGTTTTTGTTACTGAATTTTTGGAATTTTTTTTCTAAAATGAAGTAACTATAGTTTCTTATCCTCAGTATAATGCCTTTGAAAACCATGACTTTCTTGAAATAAGTAACTCAATCCGGGAGAGTATATTTTTTTTTGTAAATAAAACATTTCGAAGGATTAGGGGCCAAAAATATAGTATTTTTGAATTTTCATAGAAAAATAAATCGTGTGATATTTTTCTCCAAAACTACACTGAGTGCAAAACGGCAGAGTTTTCGAACAAGTTTTACTTAAGCCAATAAAATGTTTCTTTTAATTATCAAAAGAGGATTTTTTGAGCCAAACATCCAAAGAGTGCAAAATGGATTTAGACTACACAGACAAGAAATAAATCCTTCACTGAAATAATCATAATGATACGATAGTAATCTTGTAACTTAGGGACAAAATATTTGTTGATTAACTTTCCTCTGTATGAGATATTTTCATCCTGAAAAAGCACCGTCTCGTGTGAATCCGCCTCTTGGACCAAATATTTAATTATTGTCGAAAGCAGAGCAATTATTCATGTTTTAGATTTTCAAATTCGAATCAAGCCATTTCAACTGTTGGCCCAAACAAGACTTGTTTAAGAACTTATTTGTTTTTCTCTCAGTGTAGGGTTCGCGTTAAAGATCTTCGGAAAACAAACTAAAGAGAATTTCAACTTATTCTATGGCTCTCACTCACATATGGATGGACTTGTCCCTTCATTCATCTGTATTCTAACCATCCGGCATTTTTCGGGTCTTTGGGATTCGAATTTTTAAAGGAGAAGTTGTCAAAATGTCTTGGATTAAGCTAATTTACCTGGAGAAATTCGGTGTTTTGCTTGTAGACTAGTGCTCCGATGATCAGGTACAGTAACCGGCGCAGCAGAGGGCGGTGACAGGTGTGGATGTGTCGTAGTATTGCCACCTGACACACCCGTCGTAGGACAGACATTGTGCGGTGACGTTCTCTTGAATGATTGCTCAGTCCGCCACGCGACCTCACCATCGCCTCTCCACACTTTTCCTGAAAAGAAATAGTGAGTAACATTAAGGGCGTTCATCCTAAACCGCAAGCACTCATGAAATTTTTTATTTTGATTTTTTCTCTAACCTATCGACAGAGTTATTTTATTTATTTGGAGGAAAATTCTAATCCACCAGTTCTAAAAAAAATTCTAAAAAATATATTAATCGTTAAAAATAGTTTTCGAAAGTTTAAACAATATAAATTATTTATTTATAAACACCGAATGGTTAAAAAAATGATAATTCTGTGCAAAATGTAATGTGAACGACGCTGAATATTCATGATTTTTTCTAAATTTTTTTCACGCAATTTAATTGACAAATTTGATGATTGAAAATGGTTGAATCTATAAAGTGGTGAAAAATACTTGGATATCCTTAAGGATAATCGGGCGAGCTCGGAGGGTCAGAAAAAAAGCAGCCATTTTTTTCTTTTTTTTTACGTATTCTTTAAATGATGGAAAAGGCATGTGCAAAGTTTGAGACTGCTGGGGAGCATGGTTAATTTATTATGAATTTTTGAAAAAGTGGTTATTTAACCCCGTGATCTTATGGAAATCACAAAAAAAAACTGTAAAACCCAAGGAACAAATGCAGCCAAAGTTATGAAACTTTAGACACATTTAGAACATGTGATCAATGATTTTTTCAGTGAAAAAGATTGTCGCCTAAGAGCATTGTTTATTAATATAATAGCGATAAAAGTACTGAAAAATGAAATTTCTGCGCACGCAGCCCAAACGAGCAGCAACGTCCCAAGTACCGATCGGGTGGGGGTAGCGCGGTCAATTTAAACGTCTCTTGAGAGAGAGTGATGAAGCGTTGTGATTGGAGCTTCCTCGAACCAGTGGTACCAGCTCCTGGTCAAAAAAAAAACTACCGACGATGTTGCCCCTTTTTCGCATGGATTAATATTTTTTCATTTAAAAAAAAAAAACAATCTGAAACCCATTCAATGCGTGGAACAGATACAAATAAATTTGATTAGCTCCAGAAATAATTTTTAACCGGAGATACTCCCTAGTATTGCCTGAATTTTGAATCCGAATGGGAAAAATTTTTTTGTTCAGCGATTGGTTTTCTGCAGGAAAACAATAGAAACCCCTCCGCCTCACCTCCTACATTCCCTCCTCGCCCGATTATCCTTAAATCAAATTCAAGGTCTTTTTCCGGAAAATTCAGCCAAATTCTTTCAACCGTGTGAATTTCTAAAAATCAGTGACATGTCCCTGGAATCCAATGACATGTTCCTGACAATAAAAAAAAATTTCTCTCTGAAGTTTCCAGGCGGTTCCCCCTTAGACACAGGCCCAAGTGAAAATCCAATATTCTCTCCGCCTAAATAAATGACCGAAGTAGAATAATATTGACGTATTCCAGTAAATGAGAGAAGTGCCCTGGAATAAGTCGAGATAAGTTATAACCGAAATGCGAAAAACGTAATGTAATAACACGGGGTGGGCGAGCCACTCTGTGTGGACCTTATGTTACAATACTGAGTGAATATGTGTGTAGGCGAATGAGTCGCACTGAGAGACGAACGAAATGGCTTCTCTCCCCCTCGGAGTTACCGTCATGTGTAATTAGCAAAACGACCCACCCTCGCATCAGAACTGTAAGATTCCCCTTGGTTGCTAGTGGATGTATATAGCCAGCATTTTCCCCAGGCTTTTTCCCTCGTTTCCCTTAATTTTTCGGAGAACAATGACCCCAACCCCCTTGTGAATATTGTTCCAGGCACTGCAGTGTCTAATTACATGGGGAGGAAGAGCGATCGAGAGAATGACTCTCCAGTTATAATTTATCGTCCGTGAGTATTGAAACGTTTTTCGAAAAATCGGAAATTTCACGGTGATGAAGTTTTCTTTTTGTCTTGCCTTTGTTTTCGGGGTCTCAATAAAATCAAATTTTCATTTTTCACTGATGCTGGGTGATTAATTATTTCTTTGGACGAAGAAACTTGTGGAAATCTTGTGCTAGCCGGAGAGTAAATGGAAGAACGAGGAGCGGTGGAGAAATAATGGGGAGAGGGGAGGAGTCCGTCTGCATTAAGAGTCCGGTTCCAGGCGGAAAGGAAAAGGAAAGAAAGCTGTGGCGCTAACTAAGGGCGTCGGCTAATCAATATCATTGGAGAAATGGTCAGTGCCCTCTCGTGTTTCTCTCCGTACTCATCTCTATTTTATACATGTCAATGAAATTTCAAAGTGGATAATAGGAATGAATTGATCGTTTAGATATGGGGGAACTATGGACATGTTTCACCGGATACATTTGATTCGATAGTCACGTGGCGTTGGTTTAAAAGCCGGTGAGGAGGACTTTCCTTTATTTTTCTCATCGGGAAATATCGGAGTTCTTAATTTCCTTTCGTTGAGAGAGAGATGAGGGGTCCGACAAAAGCCCGCGGGCAATGGGGCTCCCTAACATGCACCGCACGGATACAACACGGGCCAGCGGTTCCTTTAATCTCGTGGTGTTTGCATGTCCCGAAATCCTCTCCTCACTCTACTCCCTCCACCGACACTCGCATTTTATTCAGTCAACCCCCTACAATTGTGCGGTAAAAATCGTGCTTCGAGGGAATTACATTATTTTTTTACGAGAAATGTTCATAAAATGGGAAAGACTTGAAAAATTTTTGTTATTTCTGAAATTCGATTTTTTAAATTATTAATTTGATGAACAAATTGATTAAAAAATGGAGGATGACGTTTGTTGTTGAGAGTTGTCTACATTTATAATTTATAATTGAAATTCAAGGATATCATTTTTTTTATTATTGAAAAATATTTACATTTTCAAGAGTAACTGAATTTTCAATTCTAATATCACATTTAAATACTAAATTCTGGAGAGAATTTTGATTTTTTTGGAGATTTAAGGATAATCGGGCGAGGAAGAAATGTAGGAAGTGAGGCGGAGGGGTTTCTGTTTTTCTGCAGGAAACCAATCGCGGAACATAAAAATTTTTCCCATTCGGATTCAAAATTCAGGCAATATTAGGGAGTATCTCCGGTTAAAAATTACTTTTGGAGCTAATCAAATTTATTTGTATTTGTTCCATGCATTGAATGGTTTTCAGATTGTTTTTTTTCTAATAAATGAAAAAATATTAATCCATGCGAAAAAGTGGCAACATCGTCGGTAGTTTTTTTTTTCACCAGCAGCTGGTACCACTAGCTCGAGGGAGCTCCAATCACAACGCTTCATCGCGCTCTCCCAAGAGACGTTTAAATTGACCGCGCTACCCCCACACGATTGGTACTTGGGACATTGCTGGTCGTTTAGGCTGCGTGCGCAGAAATTTCATTTTTCTGCACTTTCTTCGCTATTATTAATAAACAATGCTCCTAGGCGACAATCTTTTTCACTCAAAAAATCATTGATCACATGTTCTAAATGTGTCTAAAGTTTGATGACTTTGGCTGCATTTTTAACTTCCCGGGCAGGGAAGTTATTGTAATGCCCCCGAAAATGAAAAATCGATTTTCCATGATATCTCCACGTTTCAAGGTGTTTCTAATGTTCCTCGATAGTTTTTAACAAAATGTCTGTGGGTGTGTGTGTGTGTGTGTATATGTGTGTTACTTTGTACGTATGTGGTCAAAATTTTGGTCAACGTTTTCTCGTGAACGAATGGTCCAATTTAACTTTTTTTTCTCCAATCGATACGTCTTCATGTAACTTAGACCGGATTAGATTTTGGTTGATATTGGTCCGATGGTTTTCGAGTTATTCCAGAACGAAAAATTCAAAATAGAAAAAAATAATCAAAAATTTCTCATTCTCATAAGACGGTCATAACGAACGATTATAATGAAGAAAAGCTCTTCATTTTCTCCAATTTTTTTCATATATTTTTCACCATGATATTTCTTCCGTTTTTTTCTAATTTTTTATTTATTTTATCAACTTCCCGATCTATCGGGTAGTTATTGTAATCACCCTGAAAATGAATCATTAGTTTTTTGCGATTTATCCACGTTTCTCGGTGTCTAAAACACTTCTAAACAACATGTCTGTATGTGTGT